GACCCTGGAGGACATTATGCTGAGTGAAATATCTCAGTCACAAAAGGACAAACAATGCATAGTGCCACTGCTGTAGAATGGGACTGACATCAGGTTTGGGGTAAGAATGAGGAAGAACTGGATAAATTATGTATACTGTATTGAAACAGATGAAGGAGAAAACAGTCTAAAAGCAATATACTATAGGGTATTATGATTATCTTAAGAGTCTGAAATGAAGGTTGCAGGGTGGAGTATACTTGGGGTGGGGGGATTGTATACCAATGAAGGAGTTTTTCTTGTACTTTTCAAAGAGAAGAGCGAACTAGGGGTGGGGAGGTGGGTGGGGAGAAAATGGAAATCCAAAATCTCTGTAAATGTTTATTAAAGTTAATAAAAAAAAAAAAAAGGAAAAAAACCCCACAATTACCTCATCCTAAAACTGGGTCCAATTATACATCTTATCTGCTAAATAAGTTATTACTTGTAACTTGAATAAAAAAAGAATGATAAATGAAAAAAGAAATACTGCTCAAATTCTACATGGCAAAGAAATAAAAATAGGTTAGGAAGGGCAGAAAAAGGCTAAAGGACAGTGAGCAGAGCAGCATTAATTAGAAAACAGTGGTTCTTAAGAGTAAAATGTCAGAAGAACTGAAAAAAGCAAATGTGCAATTTTAAAATACAATGATAGCTTCTGGTCAAAACTAAGGTTGGTAAATAGCTTGAAAGAAAAAAGTTCTAACAGAGGTCCTGAAGATTCTGTTGAAAGAATGGGTAATGATTCACAACTACTTCTAATCCAGAATTCATCAAAAGTTTATTGTTCATATTTTAAAAACTTGTATTTAAAAAAAAGCAAGTAAAGAAAGACATAATATTTAAACCAAGACTAGAAACACAAAAACACAAAACTGAAATGGAGAAGGTAACTGAAAACAAAACTCAAACTCACAGTCATCAAGTCAATTCCCACTAGTGGTGGCTTCCTATCAGGTTTCAAAGACCACAAATCTTCATGGGAAGAAGTCAATCCTGGATGAGATTACCTCAGTGACTGTGGTAATGGGGGTAGGTGTGTCGGAAACATTTGGCTCAAGACAGAGCAGGGTTCAGAGCTGCTGTACAGGAACCACAAGGTGCTCAAGCAGCAGTTACTGGAGCAGCTGTTGGCCTTTAAATTAACAGAGCATCTAACACTAAGCCACCAGGAGCACCTTTGAAAAACAGCTAGGAGGGTTTTGGCTTGTTTGGGTTAATTTAAGAAACAGAAAAAGGAAGTGGTGGTGAAGCTACAGAGCATATACTCCACCTCAAGAAACAGCCTCTGTCTTAGCTCCTGTCATATTAGCAAGAGAAAAATCTTAATAATTTTTTCATTTAGTAAAAACATAACATGCAAAAATGGGAAGTATCCTGACACCTGAATACTAGAATGAATGGGGGGAAAAATTAAACTCCGTGCCAAGTGTAACTCAGCTACATCTGATCACACTTTACCAAGCCAGTTTAGTTTAGTTTAATGCCTGACTTAAAGTCTTTTATATTCCCAAATTTATATGTCTAAAAAGTTTGTTAGACATGTGTGGATTTCCTGATATTTGAATCAATGTCTATTTCTCCTGTGGGAAAGTAAGAATACCTGTTTAATGCCTAAAGTTACACAAGCATATTAAAGGTAAATAAAAACAAGTACTAAACATGTATTAGATAGTTATAAAACGTACTGGTACCTATTTTGGTACTTATACAGGTTCTAGCAAGGAACTTTAAATTCAAAGATAGCCACCAACTCAGAGTTATTAAAACTTAACTCTCAAAATACATTACCCTTCCACTTGTGCCAACTTGCTGTCCATGATATGGGCCAAAGCTGCAGCAAGATCTTTCTTTATATGGCCAACTTGATTCCCATTCACATTGTTTACTTTAATTGCATTCTTATCATAGGGGTTGTTAGGGTCTCGTTGTAAAGCAACCATTTCATTATTGTTAACCTAATAAAAAAAAATAAGGAGAAGCCATCACTTTCTATCACCATACATGAACTGAGATTTCTATTTCTTTTGAACGCTCAGTAGTGAGGAGTTGTGCTGCCAACTTGGTAATGGTTCAAATCCACTAGCTGCTCCACTGGAGAAAGATGGACAATCTCCTCCCATGCGATTTACAGCCTCTGAAAACCCACTGGAGAGTCAGCTATGGGTCAGTTTAGATTCGTCCATACTCAACAACAACTTGCTAAACATTACACAAAAGTATGTTTTTGGAGAACAACAGAAAAATAAAATACTTCTTTATTAAAGAACACCCACTCACCCCACTACTACCAAGGCAATTTCACCACGGCAACTCTCCCTCCAACCAGGATGAAGAATCTATAAAGTTTAATAGGAGGAAACTGCTTCCTCTTTCTCCTGCACGGTGTCTGGCAAATGCAAATCCCTGCCCTGTCAATTATACACAACAACTACTGTACCATGAGGACCTCTTATATTAAAGGATTTTACACACACACACACGTCTTTTTTTTTCCAATGCTTTTCTGATTTACATGCATTGTTATTGTGGTTGGACACCACTGACTCAGAACTGACTCATAGCTGACGCTCCAGCAGGCTTTCAGAGGCAGTTAATCAGGAGTTCTGGTGGCCTAGTGGCTAGAAGCTGCACTGCAATCCCAGAGGTCCACAGTTCAAATCCACCAGGTGCTCTGCTGGAGAAGGAGAGGCAAGCTCCTCCTGTACCAGTCAAATCCGATTTGACGATACACACAAAAAATAATAAAATTAAAAAAAAAAATTTACGAAAAACAAAAGGTAATTAATGAAACATGAGGGGAATGCCCACTCTTCTCCCACAGAGCTTCTGGTGGATTCGAACCAAGTGCTTTCAGGATTGCAGCACAGATTTTTACAACTAGGCTTAAATTCTCCATCAACTACATGACAAACTTTGTTCAAATGAGTATATTAAATGGACTGACTTGTTAAATCGTCACAACGTTGTAAGGCAAACAGTATCATTACCTCTATTGTTGTTATGTGCTGTCGAGTCACTTGTAATTCATAGCTATCCTATGTATAAGAGCCCTAAACCCTACTCTATCCTGTGCCAACCTCATTGTCTCCAACGCAGCTACGCTGATTACCCCAGTCACTGAATCAATCTACCTCCTGCGCTGTCACTCCACCCTCCCAAGATTGACGTCTCTCTCCAAGGACTGATCTTGCCTTGCAACATGTCCGAAGTATTTCAGACGAAGCTTCAGAATCCTTGCCTCCAAGGAGCAGCCCAACTCTCCAGGTTGAATCTTTGTTTTTCTTAGCAGTCCATGGTATATTCAATACTCTCCTCCAGCACTACAGCTCAAAGGCATTAACTCACCTTCTATCCTCCCTAGTCACTGTCCAGCTCTCTGATGCATAGCAAGTGATTCAAAGGCCATAGCCTGTATCAGGCGTACCTTAGTCTCCAGAGTGACACCACTGCTCTTCAATACTCTAGAGAGGTCCCTAACAGCAGACTTTCCCATCACAATACATCTTTTAATTTCCTGGCTGCTGGTGCCAAGAGTGTTGACTGTGGAGCCAAGCAAACTAAAGCTGTTAACAATCTCAATCTCTTCACCATCTGTCATAATGCTGCCAATCAGCCCAGTGGTGAGAATCTTCATTTTCTTGATGTTGAGCTTCAATCCATATGGAAGCCTGCAGTCCTTGACACTCTGCAGCAAGTGCTTCAGGTCCTCCTCAGTTTCAGCAAGCAGGGTTTGGAGACTCTGCATAACGTAGGTTGTTGGTGATTCTCCAATCCTTATACCACATTCCTCCTCATAGAGCCCAGCCTCCCAGATAATCTGTTTTAAATATAGATTGAAAGGAGGTATGGAGATAGGACACATCCCTGTTGTATACCTTTCCCAATTTTGAACCATGCAGTCAGTGTTTCCTTGCTCTGTTCTGATAACTGCCTCCTGGTCCAAGTATAGGTTTCACATTAGCACGATCAAGTGTTCTGGGATTCCCATTCTTCTCAGAGTCAGCCACAGTTTGTTGTGATTATCTCTACTTTACAAATTAAGAAATTTAAGCAGAGAAAAGATTAAGTTAAGTCTTTCTATTGTCATAGAGTTATTAGCAGAGCTGGGATTGGTGCACAGGCAATCTGGTTCTTCAGCCTCCATTTTCTAATATGTGAAAGTCAAGAAAAGAAATTACAAATAACTAGAATTAAAAATACACAATCGTAAACTCATGTCATTCTCTAATTTCACTTCATTAAAAGTTGTCCAATCTCACCACTGGACCAACTGGCAACATCAGGATGGTGAAGAGATTGAGATTGTTCATAGCTTTAGTTTGCTTGGCTCCACAGTCAACACTCTCGGCACCACTAGCCAGGAAATTAAAAGACATATTGTGATGGGAAAGTCTGCTGTTAGGGACCTTTCCAAAGTACTGAAGAGCACTGGTGTCTCTCTGGAGACTAAGGTGTGTCTGATATAGGCCATGGCCTTTGCTATCACTTGTTATGTGTCAAAGAGTTGGACAATGACCGAGGAGGATAGAGGGAGAACTGATGCCTTTGAGCTGTGGTGCTGGCGAAGAGTATTGAGGGTACCATGGACTGTTAGAAAAACAAACAGATTCATCCTGGAAAGGATTAAACTGGGTGGCTCCTTGGAGGCAAGGATTCTGAGGCTCCGTCTAACATATCTGGACATGTTGTAAGGAGAGACCAGTCTATGGAGAGGGACATCATGCTTGGTAGGGTGGAGGGACGGCGCAGGAGGGGAAGGCCCTCTATGAGGTGGATTGATTCAGTGACTGGGGTAATCGGGATGGGAGTGTCAGAGACAGTGTGACTGGCACAGGACAGAGTAGAGTTTAGGGCTGTTATACTTAGGGTCGCTATGAGTTGCAAGCGACTCGACAGCACATAACAACAACAACGGTATCCTCACTTACAGAAGCAGAATTAGGACCTCCTAAAAGATTCTTTCCATGTAAGCAACAGCTATATATAAAATGTTTAGAATCACATTTTCAAACTCTAGAAACTAGCCTACGACTTACAGAAAGATTAAGAACATTAATTTAAGGAAAAACAGCCAAGTTCTCAGTGTTCAAGTCCTAACTGTGCTCTCCAGAAACACAAGAGTTTTTAATTATTATTATTATTATTTTTATTATTTGTGTATGTGTGTACTGTCAAATTGAATCTGACTGGTACAGAAGGAAATTGCCCTTCCTCCTTCAGCAGAGCATCTGATGGATTCAAACCACATGCCTTCAGGATTGCAGCACAGAACACAAGAGTTTTGAAGTCTACTGGCACTCCTGATGTAATATAAGCACCAATACAAACAAAAATGTACCAAGTTCTTTAAAAGCCTCACTATCTAGGCACTAAGTTTCTGTTAATGACAGTAATTTGGAAAAGAATAGATGTTTCTGAATTGTGTTGACAAAGAGCAAAGTTGTTATACCCTCACTCTCCCTCGTGGGCCTACATACAATATAGAAACTAGAAATTTATAAAAGGACACAGGAAGATAAAAATCTCTATCACAGAGAAGAGTAGAGAACATGAAAAAAGACAACTCTTTTTTAGTAGAAGTTGGAATTCCAAAATTTAAAATACCAAAGTTTAGAAATCTGAAGGATAGAAGATGCAAAGACAGTAAACTTGGAAGTTATTTTCCAAATACACCATTTGTTATTGTTATGTGCTGGCTGAGTCAAATACAACTCATAGTGACCCTCCAAACAAAAGAACAGAATCATGCCTTATCTCTCACAAACTCAAGCTCTTATTTTTTTATAATTTATTATATTTTTTGAGTGTGCCGTCAAACTGCATCTGACTGGTACAGGAGGAGATTGCCCCTCCTCCAGCAGAGCATCTGGTGATTTGAACCATGTGCCTCTGGGACTGCCGTGCAACTTCTTGCCACTAGGCCACCAGAGCTCTCTTCAAGCTCATTTTTACAGTCACCATGTCAGTCCAACTTGCTCAGGGTCTCTGAGGGTAGCTCTGGGGGGCCCAGTACACAGGGAGCTGTGCTTGCTAATACAATGACTCTCTGGCAGTTCTAATTCACAAACAGCTCCAAGGGAGAAAAACAGGCACTCCTCTCCCCTGAGATTCACAGACTCAGAAAACCCACTGGAAGGTGAGCAATTAAGTTCCAACTCAATGATAATATAGCATTTGTTGTTGTCAGATGCCACTGAGTCAAGTACGGTTCATGGCAACCCTATGACCAACAGATCTAAACCCTCTCTCATCCTCATCATCTGTTACACACTTGAGCCCACTGCTACAGTCACTGTGTCAATTCATTTGGTGAGGGTCTCCCTCTTCACCGACCCTCCACCTTTCTAAGCATGATGTCTTTCTCCAAGGAACAGCCTCTCTTAGCAACATGCCCAAAGTAAATGAGTCAGGGCTCTGTCATCCTTGCTTCCATGAAACATTCTGGCTGTACTTTCTCTAAGATATATCTATACTTTTAACATCAACTCTTCTTCTTTCAATCCTTATTCATCCGTTGTTGCCATTATGTACCATCGAGTTGTCTGTGACTCATAGCGACCTTCTGTCAATCTTATTGTCTCTGACACATCTGCCCCCATTACCCCAGTCACTGAATAAATCCATCTCATCCAGAGTCTTCCTCTCTTGCACTGTCCCTCCACACTCCCAAGCATTATGTCCCTCTCCAAGGACTAGTCCCTCCTTCCAATATGCCCAAAGTATGTCAGACGAAGCTTCAGAGTCCTTGCCTCCAAGGAGCAGCCTGGTTTCACCCTTTCCAGGATAAACCTGTTTGTCCTCCTGGAAGTCCATGGTATATTCAATGCTCTTCTCCAGCAAGTGTTTGTATATTTGAAGCACATTGTTTTTACCTTTCTGAGCCTTAATCCTTCAGTTATCAAAAAGTAAAAACAGATCCTAGCTTCTTCAGAATTACTGCAGGGATCAAATGAGATGGTGTAGGCCAAAGTGCTATATTTATAATAGTAAGTTAAAATAGTTCAAGTATTTATCTCTTGCCTTTGCTATCTTCAAATACATAAAAGTAAAAATATACATTAACGGCATGCACCACATTTACAACTGTCTACTTTCTAGGTTAACACCGTCAGTACAATCACAATTTAACTCATTATCTGTTCTACTCACCACTCCTGAGTAGTAGCGTATTCCAACCACATGGCCTCTTAACGTTCCAAATAAAATGGAATCAAGCTCCTCATCACTGGTTATAAAGTCATCTGGAGAAACAATATCTTGGAATTCAAAACGGGGAAAGAAAGTAGGATATAAAAGGCGTGAAAAACTTCCATGAGTTCCCAACTGGACATTTTGCAAATACTTCCAAACTGGATCTCTATTAAAAAGGAAAAAAAAAATAGTCACAGAAAAATAATACAATATTTAACCAGCTCTCCTGGGAAGAGTGTAGCATCATTCATAGGTCATAGTTTTCTCAAATTTAATTCATACCTAAAATAAAATCCTCGGTGGGACCCAGTGCATATAGATAGTACAGCTATCTTAAGGATCTGGGTGGAAGAATCCTAACTTTGTAGGAACCCTAAGTGCTCAAAATACTCCCTAACTCCTCTAGGAAAATTAAAGGTGCACTACAACGTGGATTTAAGGGGGTGGGGGGTGAGAAGGGAGGAAAATGTGCAACAATGAATGCATGTAAACACAACCTTCCTGTAAACCTTCATTAAAATCACATTTTTTAAAACAACAACAACAACTAAGGGTTCCAGTTTCATTCCTAGGGATAATCAAGCTACATAAATTTAAGCGTATGTGATGTCTGTAATGATGTTTATGTGCCAAAATTTCACTGGGAACTGAAGCCAGGCGAGACTTGCAAAAATGGTACAATTCTTGTAAGCGAAGCAATGCAATATGTTTATCTCTTTAAAGACAACAGCTTCCACCTCTGGGTGGCTGGAGTGGGCGCAGATTATTCATGGTTTCCTCCTCATTAAAGTCATAGATCCAAACCAAGCCAGCAGGAGAAGCGGCCCTGAGACCCGGTCCCCTCCCTATTCGTGCAAGGCTCACCCCTGCACCCTGAGGGTCCGAGGGATGGAGACAAAGGGGAGGCTGCAGGAGGGTCCCCCTCTCCCAGCAGCACGGTCCTCCCCCGACGTTGTCTGGCTGTTTGTAAACATGCATTTGCACGTCTGTGCAGGGACAAAGCTGACTGACGCGCCCGGGGCCGGCCTTCCACCCCGAGCACAGAGCCTGCGCACAGTCGGGTGCTAAGGGACCTTTATAGGATCGGGACCACGTCAACCCGGAGCTGGACGCCCTCCGGCCCTGCAGAGGTTCCAGGCTTCCCCAGGTTCCTGCTCAAGCCTCATCAGAAAAGGCTCCCCTCTCTAGTCACGCTATGTCCTTCCTTCTCCCGTGTCCAGCCGAGGGACCACGAGTCACGCAGGGACTGCTGCAGGAGCGCGGAAGGTCAACCCCGGCGTCCCACCCATCCAAGCGTTACCTCTTGAACAACCAGGACATGGCGCAGCGCGGGGCAGCGACCCGAGGCTCCTCAGGGGCCCTGGGTCGTTCTCGAGTCACCTGCTTCCAGGCCCGTGGCCAGGTCGCCGGAGTCACGTCCCAAACCTCCCCGCCAAAGGAGCAACCGACTGGAGAACAAGACGCCACCGAGTCCGGTCCCGCGTCGACGTTAGCTCAGGCTAGCAACAATCTGGTAGAACAGAGACCCTTTGTGACTGGCGAAGGGTTCCTCCAATCCCGAGGAGGAGCCTACGGGAAGGAGCCAATCAGAACACGGAAAGGAAGGCGACTCCGCCCAGCTCTGTGATTCCCCAGGCTGGGGGCGTGTCTGGCCGCGGGGGGCGGTGCCATCCGGGTCCTTCCCCGCCCCCCATTCCGGTGTTTTGGGAAAGCCGCGCGGGAAAGCTGCAAAGTCACTGCAGTGTGTTAAGGTGCCTTAGAGACAAAAGATACTTCTTTCAATTTTTATCCTCAGACCAGCCCTGCCTTATCCAGCCTCCAGATTTCTTCAAATCAGATGTGAGATGCAAATGTGAGGGCTTCATTGAGTTAACTCTAGGTTTACAGATTTTACTACCAAGAACTTACTACTTTGGTGAATCCTTGTATGTTATTTGATGATGATGGTGATGATGATGGTGATGATGATTCCTTTTAAGCCTCACTAGCATACCTTTGAGATAGACGAATATCAGAAACTCTTTGCTGGAACCGTATAGTATCCCCCCTCTCACTAAAGTTGGTGTCTGTTCATCTTCTTTGGGCACTTTGTCGTTTCTTAGTCCAGGAGAGGACAGCCCTGCTACAGCTGCTGCCTGTTCCCTCTGATTCATGGACATTTAGTATACTGCAACGATGTCAGTCTGGAAACTAAGGTGCGCCTGATACAGGCCATGGTCTTTGCAATCACTTACTATGCATCAGAAAGCTGGACAATGACTAGGGATGATAGAAGGAGAATTGATGCCTATAAGCTGTGGTGCTGGGGAAGAGTATTGCTAGGAGAACAAAGAAGTTTGTCCTGTAGAAGGTGAAACCAGGCTGCTTCTTGGAGGCAAGTGAAAGGTGTCGGATCAAAAACAAGAATCACTCCGAGGTAGAAACATTTCTGAGAGTTTATTGTGCGCTGGGCTACTCAGCAAGGGGAGTAGCACTGGGGGTTGGGCTTGGGAGGTTTATATGGGGTGGTTCTGGTCTTGGGAAACTGGTCCTGTCATAGGATTTCTGAGTTGTGATTTCAGAAAATTGTTCTGACATAGGGCTTTCTAAGTTCTGGTTTTAGGGCATGTCCTGACATAGGATTTTCTAAGTTCTGGTTTCAGAAGATGTCCTGACATGGGATATTCTGGTTTCAGAAAATGGCCTGACATAGGATTTTTTAGTTGACCTTCAACCTCCATTTTTATTTTTAGTCTAACAGCACGGATTCTGGCATACTTTGAACATTATTTCAAGGAGGTACCAGTCCTTGGAGAGGGACATCATAGGAGAGGAAGACCCTCAATGAGATGGATTGGTTCTGTGACTGGAGTAATGGAGGTAGATGTGTCAGAGACAATAAGACTGGCACAGGATAGAGCAGAGTTTAGGGCTGTTTAGGTCGCTATGAGTCGCAAGTGACTCGACTGGCACATAACAACAACAAACAACATGTTACAGGCGGCTATAAGTCCTGGTGGCTGCAGTGCATCCTCACAGCCCTTAACGTGTTTGAGGCCTTCTGGTACTGCAGATTCTGCTCAGGCTGCTGGATGTTACAGGGGCCTCAGATTGCAGGATTCTTGCCAAAGCAAATCAATAAGGAAATGAGGCACCTTCTTTCAGCAGATGGTTCTGTAGGAAGGAAAGGTGCTCCCTCAGGAAGTACCTCAGCAAGGGCTCTGCCAATGTGAGTCTCCCTCCTTGCTGACAAAAGCAGCAGCATTTCAATTGTTAGTGCTGATAAACCTTTGCATAATCAGCAATTTCCTGAGGTGAAGTGAGGAACTGATCGGTCTGGGCTAGGCTCTGTAAATGAAGTGCATGGACTGTCTTTCCAATTGGATTCCCCCTGGCAGTCAGGGGACTGCTAAATCAGCAGAGATTAGTGAAGGGGGGTGGGGGTGGAGGCAAAAGCAAGATGCAGCGATGAGACCTTGTGATAAATGACATTGATCAGCTATCATCAATGTTCTAAAACAAAATGTATTTGAAGAAAACGAACGAAATTCCATCAGAAGGTTTCTGGGCCTCTGTTGTTGTGTAGCATCCAGTCAGAATAGACTGGCAACTGACCCTCCACAACTCCTTACCACTAAGACATCAGAGCTACCTATTTTAAAAGGAAAAAGGTTTCCTTTTCATCCAGAAGGATAAAAGTCCTCTACTCCCCTTTATTCTCTTAGCTTCTAGAAACAATTTTGAGTAGGATCTTGTCAAATTGAAATCCTTTAACAGTTCCTGTCTGCCTTTCCACCCTGCAATCCCTAGCTTCACACCCTTTCTGTTAGCATAATAATGGGTCCTCAATCTGTATGTTTAGTGATTGCAAGAAGTTGAACTCTGTGAAAAAGAATGTGGCATTAGGAACAAAGGAAGGCTTAACAACTTGCCTTAGGCAGATGACACACCTTGCTGAAATTAAGGCAGACTTGAATTGCTTGCTGCAGAGGATCGAAGACTACAGCCTTCAATACATATTGCATCTTAACATCAAGAAGACAAAATTCCTCACCACTGGACTGACAGTCAGTGTCATGATGTTGTTGTTGTACGTGACTTCGATTCGCCTGCGACTCATAGCGACCCTATGTACAACAGCCCTAAACTCTGCTCTGTCCTGTGCCAATCGCACCGTCTCCGACACACCCATCCTGTTTACCCCAGTCACCAAATCAATCCACCTCATAGGGGGCCTTCCCCTTCTGCACTGTCCCTCCACCCTACCAAGCATGATGTCCCTCTCCAAGGACCTGTCCGTCCTTGCAACATGTGCAAAGTATGTTAGACAGAGCCTTAGAATCCTTGCCTCCAAGGAGCAGCCCAGTTTGACCCTTTCCAGGATGAATTTAGTGTCATGATAGATGGAGAAAAATTGGAAGTTGTCAATGATTTAATCTTAATTTATAAAAACAAAGAGCATCCTTGGTACCAGCACTCAGGAGAGCTACCTATAGCTGGGCTTTACTCCCTTCTGTTAACCTAATAACAGAGCTCTAGTGGCCTAGAAGCTGTGCTGCAATCCTAAAGGTACAAAGTTTGAATCCACCGGCTGCTGCCTCCATGGAAGAAGGATGGACAATTTCCTCCCAAGTGATTTATTGTCTGTGAAAATCAACTCTAAGGCACATAACAACAACAACAATTAACCTAGTAATAGGGTCTTCTAACTTTGTATCAAAGAGGACCAATTGGCAGCATCAGGATGGATGGTGAAGAGATTGAGATTGTACACAGCTTTAGGTTGCTTGGCTCCACAGTCAACCGGTGCATTGCGATGGGAAAGTCTGCTCTTAGGGACCTCTCCAGAGTACTGAAGAGCAATGGTGTCTCCCTGGAGACTAAGGTGTGTTTGATACAGGCCA